AGGCACTCAGGAGCCCCTCTACCAAAATTTAAAGAATTTTATTCTTTTTTTTTTTAAGATTTTATTTTTTTGATAGAGAAATCACAAGTAGGCAGAGAGGCAGGCAGAAAGGGCGGGTGGAGGGGGAGTAAGCGGGCCCCCTGCTGAAAAGAGAGCCTGATATGGGGCTCAATCCCAGGGCCCCAAGATCATGACCTGAGCTGAAGGCAGAGGCTTAACCCACTGAGCTACCCAGACACCCCAAGAATTTTATTCTTTAAAGAAAATTAGTGAATTCTATTCTTCTGAAACTATTTGAAAAAAAATAGAAGAGAAAGGAAAGCTTCCAAAATCATTCCATGAGGCCCTGATACCAAAACCGGATAGACACTACAAAAAAAGAGAAATATAGGCCAATAACTCCAATGAACATAGATGCAAAAATCCTTGCAAAATATTAGCAAACTGCATCAAACAATACGTTAAAAAAGTCATTCATCACCATCAGGTGGGATTTATTCTCAGTATACGAGGGTGGTTCAATATTTGCAAATCAGTCAATGTGATACATCACATTGTGATACATCACATCAACAAGAGAAAGGAGAGGGGCACCTGATTGGCTCAGTTGATAGAACATGTGACTCTTCATCTCAGGATTGTAAGTTCAAGCCCTGTGTTGGGTATAGAGATCACTTAAAAATAAAATCTAAACAAACAAACAGAAAGACAAGAAAAAGGATTAAAACAATATGACCATTTCAACAGATGCAGAAAAAGCATTTGACAAAGTACAATATCCATTCTTGATAAAAATCCTTAACAAAGTAGATTTAGAAGAAACATACCTCAACATAATAAAGGCCATTTATGAAAAACCCACAGCTAACATCATACTTAATGGTGGAAAACTGAGAGCTTTTCCCCTGAGATCAGGAATAAGACAAGGATAACCACTCACCATTTATTTATTTATTTATTTATTTTAAGTAGGCTCCATGCCCAGCCTGGAGCCCAACATGGGACTTGAACTCATGACCCTGAGACCAAGGTGAGCTGAGATCAAGTTATCGAGCTGACATCGAGAATCAGATGCTTAACCTCCTGAGCCACCCAGGTGCTCTCACTGCTTTTGTTCAGCATTGTACTGGAAGTCCTAGCCACAGCAATCTGACAAGAAAAAGAAATAAAAGACATCCAAATTGGTAAGGAAGAGATAAAATTTTCACTATTTCCAGATGACATGCTATTATGTATAGAAAACCCTAAAGAATTCACCAAAAAACTACTAGAAGTGATAAAGGAATTCAGTAAGGTCACAGGACACAAAATCAATATACAGAAATCCACTGCATTTCCATACACTAATAATGAAGTAGCAGAAAGAGAAATTAAGAAAACAATCCCATTTATAACTGCATCAAAATAATAAAATATCTAGGAATTAATCAAGGAGCCAAAGGAGCTATACTCTGAAATCTATAAAACATTGATGAAAGAAAGTGAAGACAACACAAACAAATGAAAAGATATTCCATGCTCATGGATTGGAAGAACACATATTGTTAAAATGTCCATACAACCCAAAGCAATCTACAAATTAAATGCAATCCCTATCAAAATACTAACAGCATTGTTCACAGAACAGATAACACTAAAATTTGTGGGAACCACAAAAGATCCTGAATACCCAAGGCGATCTTTAAAAAGAAGAACAAACTGGAGGTATCACAATCCCAGGTACCAAGATATAATACAGAGCTATAGTAATCAAAACACTATTGTACTGGCACAAAAAGAGACACATAGAGCAATAGAACAGACTAGAGAGCACAGAAATACAACCATGATTATGTGGTGAATTAATCTTTGACAAAGGAGGCAAGAATATGCAATGGGAAAAAGACAGTCTCTTCAACTGGTGTTAGGAAAACTGGACAGCTACTTGCAAAAGAATGAAACTGGACCACTTTCTCACACCATACACAAAAATAAACTGAAAATGAATTAAAGGCCTAAATGTGAGGCCTGAAACCATAAAAATCCTAGAAGAGAGGATTTTGACATTGGCCATAGCAACATTTTTCTGGCTATGTCTCCCAAGGCAAGGGAAACAAAAGCAAAAATAAACTATTGGGACTACATCAAAATAAAAAATTTCTGCACAGTAAGGAAACAATCAACAAAACTAAAAGACAACCCACCGAATGGGGGAAGATATTTGCAGATGACATGTGCAATAAAAAGTTAGTATCCAGAATATATAAAGAACTTACACAACTCAAAAAAACAAGTAATCCAACCAAAAAAATGGGCAGAAGGCATGAACAGACATTTCTCCAAAGAAGATATGTAAATGGCCATCAGACACATGAAAAGATGCTTAACATCACTGGTCATCAGGAAAATGCAAATGAAAACCACAATGAGGGGCGCCTGAGTGGCTCAGTCAGTTAAGCGTCTGCCTTCGGCTCAGGTCATGATCCCAGGGTCCCGGGATTGAGCCCTGCATAGGGCTCCTTGCTCAGATGGGTGGGGGGAGCCTGCTTCTCCCTCTGCCTGCAGCTCCCCCTGCTTGTGTGTGCACGCCTCTCTCTCTCTGGCAAATAAATAAAATATAAAGATGAAATGAAATAAAATAAATTAAAAAACAAAAAACAGAACCACAATGAGATATCATCTCACACCGGTCAGAATGTCTAAACAACAGCAACAACACAGGAAACAAGTGTTGGCGAGGATGCAGAGAAAGGGGAACCCTCTTACACCGCTGGTGGGAATGCAAGCTGGTGCAGTCACTGTGGAAAACGGTATGGAGGTTCCTCAAAAAGTTGGAAATAGAACTACCCCATGATCTAATAATACCACTCCTGGGTATTTACCCAAAGGATGCAAAAACACTAATTCAAAAATATATATGCGCCCCTATGATCCTTGCAGCATTATCTACAATACCCAAATTATGGAAGCAGCCCAAATGTCAACTGACTGATGAATGAATAAAAAAGAAGTGGCATATACACACACGGAATATTGGTCACAAAAAAGAAGGACATATTGCCATTTACAATAACATGGATGAACCTAGAGTGTTCCTAAGTAACCCTAAGTGAAATAAGTCAGTAAGTAACTAGGAACCCTAAGTGAAATAAGTCAGTCAAAAAAAGAGAAATAACATACAATTTCACTTATATGTGGAATTAAGAAACAAAACAAATGAACAAAGGGGAGCAAGAAGAGACAGATCCCCAAAACCGGCTCTTAACTGTAGAGAACAGATGGTCACCTGAGGGGAGATGAGTGGGGGGATGGGAGAAAAAGGTGAGGAGTACACTTACCACGAGCACTGAGTAAAGAGTTGTTGAATGACTATATTGTACACCTGAAACGAATTAACACTTTATTAATGATCCTGGATACTTTCTTTTTTAAAAAAAGATTTTATTTATTTTTTGAGAGAGAGAGAACATAAGCAGGGGGAGCAGGGGCAGAGGCAGAGGGAGAAGCAGACTCCCTGCTGAGCAGGGAGCCTGATGTGGGGCTCCATCCCAGGACCCTGAGATCATGATCTGAGTCAAAGACAGATGCTTAACAAACTGAGCCACCCAGATGCCCAATACTAGATACTTAAAAGTTTAAAAAGGAAAGAAGACTAGGAGGGCATGGACACGCTCTGCTGAGAGGTTTGTGAGGCTCAAAATTTCTCCTCACATTTTATTTTCTAGAATTGAGTCACATGGCTCCATCAAGATTCAAGGAACCAGGTGGAAGGATGTGTTTTCTCCTAGGCCGTCAGAGTGCAATAATCCGGAAAGGAGAGAACCAGTTTTTTAGTGGTTAGTGAGCTGATCTCCCACAACTTAAACAGAAAAAATATAAATAACGTCCATGTGCAGCTCTCTCCTGTACCTTCCAAGACTTTTCTCTAATGACCTATTTGGACCCACTAGAATGGGCAGAGTGGTTAGGATGCTGTCCTTGGACCTGACATGAGGGACTTTCCTCACCTGATTCAGTTTGAGAAAAAGGAAGGAACAGGCAGGGTCTCTTTAAATAACTGCTTCCTTTCCGTTTTGGTACAAATACTCTTCAGACTGAGCAATTACTAACTGCTGGCTTTTAGGGTGGTGGTTGTTTATTAACAAAGAAATTATAAAGTTGAACCATTCTTCCCTGAGCGAGAGTAGGCAGAGAATGGACGAAGAGAGTAGGAGCCTGGAACAAGTGGTTACGCAGTGGGACATTTCGTCGGTAATTATGCTTCACTTGAATGACAGTACGTGGGAGGCAGGCAGTTAGCTCCTGCTAATGGCGCACCATGGGACAGGTATTGCCTAGCACAGAGACAGAGGCTGGAACGGCCACTCCAGGGGCCAATAAAACCAGTTTTATGGAAGAAGCCATCTTTGTTAAAAAACAAACCCAACCAAACGTGGAATTCCCCGACAGGAGATGCAGCACCAACCCCAGTCTTCTCAAATTCAGTCCGCACAAGAGCCCCATGCCCTCTCAGGCTAGAATGAACCAGAGCAAACGAACTGTCCTGTGTGTAGAATGTGGACCTCTGTGATTCAGGGTGATCAGGGTCTTACACAAAGAGCTGACGATCTACTCAGACTCAGGGGCCCTGATCCAAATCAATCCACCTAGATGAGGGTCTGGTTTATACAAAAAGGAGGGGGTTGCGCACCAGTGAAGAGAATTCGTTCCCTACTCTATGTTGTCTTTTTATTATTAAATCTAATTCATGGTGCCTTTAAAACACAATGTGGTTCACACTCAACTCGCCAAGGGTATATCAGTTATGTAAAGCGAGGCACCCTGTAATTCTGTGAGGCTCTCAGCGAGTCCCTGGGCTCCGGGGCTCTGGGCAGCCCAGCTGTCCCTGCCACAAACAGGTGGTGTAAGACAATAGCTCCGCTGAGCCAACTCTCTTTCCAAAGCCTCTAGCAGCCAAGCTCCCAGCCAGAGACAGCTTGCAAGCAGCACGGCCACTCCTCGCACACCAGTCCACACCAGCGCCCACAGCCCATGGAGCCCCGGCCGCTCCTCCTGCTCCTCGGGCTCTGCTCAGGTAAGTGCCAGGGCCGAGGGGCTCTCCTGTGAGGCTGAAGCATTAGCCGTTCCCAGGAACCAGGGTCTTGCTTCCTCCTGGGAACACAGGATGGCAGGCCTTCATCAGCCTGAGGCTCTTCAGTCAGTTCTCACTCTGGTTGGCTTGATTCGGTTTGTGGATGATTTCTGGTTTGTGTTACTCAGTGAAGATGGGAGCTGCCTGGTCAGAGGCTACAAAGTAGACATGCAGGCCCCTCCTGCCATCAGGGCCTGGGGTCTCCTCACCCGTATGATCAGACTCAGCACCCCTGTGACCATCCGAGAGCAACTACAGGGACTTGGAGTGACATCTTATAATTACAATTTGGATAACATTCCTTTTACTGCTCTGGCAGGATTCTGATGATGAAGAGGCCTGATTGACAGCTGCATGTGCAGGAGAGAGAAACCTATTAATAATTGTAACTAAGCTCTTTCCATAAGAGATTAAATATTTGGTCTTTTTTTTTTTTTTTAACTTTAGCAGTTAAAAAAAAAAAGTCGTATGAACGCACTTCTGCCCTACTCTTTTACTTTATGTAGGTTTGGGTTGGAATTGAAACTATAAAACCTTGCTCAGCCCTTGACCTGCATTCCTCTCCGGAATGTGTCAGCACACAGCAGCTGAAACGCTAGCCTGAATCCTAGACTTCCGGTGGGGGGAAGTAGGGGATGTGTGCTGATTGCTTCACATAAAAGTTTACTGGTAATATCATCTCACCTGAGAAATAAGACGGCTGACAGAGCGTGATGTCTCTTCTCTAATACTGCTCTGACACACACAGACCTGCTGGGCAAAAAAGGTAAACAGCTTTATTGTTAAGGTTTTCCAAGAGCGGAGTTCGGGGAAGTAGCCCAAGCTCAGATAAATTACAGCCTGTGGGATTTGGACTTGATCCAACCAAAACTGGCCTGTGGTAGTGGGGTGTGTATGTGTGTGTGTGTGCACATGTGTGTACGTGTGTGCACTCATGTGCCTGTAAACACTACACTCAATGAAAATTCTTAAGTGATGAGCTTACACATGAAAATCCTTAAATGATCTCTCAGGTCTTCAAAGGCCTCTGGAAAACGCATGTTTACCTATCTAAAAAGGTATGTGATGTATATTTAGACCAAACCTAGAGTTTCCTGGTATCAGTTCACAGAGGGGCTCAAAGAAATTTAGAGCGAGATCAGGCAGTCCCACAACTTCAATTTGTTATTACAGGGAATCCGAGGCTGAAAGATGTGAACTGACCCGCCTGGGGTCACTTAGTTTACAAATGTTGGAACATGGCCAGTTGGAGACTGTCTATGATGTGCCTCGTCAGAAAACCCAGCCTGAAATTGCCAAAGGTAGCAAGAGGTACAGAGCCAGGTTGAGATAAGAATTAGTTAGCCAAAGTGACTGGTACCATTTCAGAATTCCTTTCGCCCAATCCAGTGGGCTGTTCCTCCAAAAAATGCAAATTGAACCAGTATGGTACAAAAAGAACACTTTGAAACTGTGGCTGGTTCAATTCTATTTTTTAAAGACTTGATTTATTTATTTGACAGAGAGATCACAAGTAGGCAGGGAGGCAGGCAGAAAGAGAGGGGGAAGTAGGATCCCCGCTGAGCAGAGAGCCCGATGCTGGGCTCCATCCCAGGACCCTGGGATCATGACCTGAGCCGAAGGCAGAGGCTTTAACCCACTGAGCCACCCAGGTGTCCCTGGTTCAGTTCTTTGTAGACAAAATTCTCATTCACATCAGGGACACTTTTTCATATGTTAGCTTACCACTTAATGATCTCTGTTCTACTTATGCAGCGTCTTTGATTTCGACCTCTTCCTCTCTTCCATCTCTGGAATCCTAAGTATTTCACAGCCATTTTTTTTATGGCATATTACTTTCCAGCTTGTTCCTAGCTATTTATGTAAATGACACATGTCTGTCTCCAAGAGGGCAGAAAGAGAGGATTTGTATCAGATTCACCTCTAAATATCTCAAAGCTCTTGAAGCAATGCTTTGCCCACAGTAAGTGCTCAATAAATACTTGATGAATGAATTAATGTTGCCACCATCTGAATAAAGATGACCCATCTGATCTTGCAGAAAAGAAAGACTTTGACATTATTTATTTGTATGTTTATCAATTTACACCCTGTCTTGAAGAAAGTATTTACTGTGATTCATTGACTCCATGAAGAACTGATCTGATATCCAGACCACATTGGAGCAGGGAACAGAATCACAGGAAGTCCTGTATATTTTCTCTTACTTTACCCTGTTTTGGGGGAAGAAAAGGAAAACAACAACAAAAAAACACCACCACCACCAATCAACCCAATCTAAGACATGGAGATCTCCACAGAAGTTCCTTAGAAATGTACTGCGGAAGGAACAGGGTCTCTTGTTATTTGTGAGACTGAAAGAGGAAGAAGGGAATGTCACTGGAATGCTGACGAGGCCTGTCTCCCCAGTCTTCCCCTTCTCCCTAGTAGACTATAGAGTTGGCCGCATAGTTTTCCTACTTTATAATGTGGACCATCTGCTCTATCTGATGCTTTCTAGTATGTTCTTCCTGTCAACGGGGAATAAACAGTCACTTAAAAATAAGCAGCCCAGGGCGCCTGGGTGGCTCAGTGGGTTAAGCCGCTGCCTTCGGCTCAGGTCATGATCTCAGGGTCCTGGGATTGAGTCCCACATCGGGCTCTCTGCTCAGCAGGGAGCCTGCTTCCCTTCCTCTCTCTCTGCCTGCCTCTCTGCCTACTTGTGATCTCTCTCTGTCAAATAAATAAATAAAATCTTAAAAAAAAAAAATAAGCAGCCCAGGAAGGGCTAAAGCAATAGCTTCAAACTCAGTGGCCCAGGCACTCGGTGGCCCATGCCAGGGTCCTTCCCCACCCCCACCGTGGACCAGGAGGGGCCCAGAATGGACAGGTACGGAGGACAGAGAATTGTCATGTCCCAGGGGCTTGATGGAGCGACAGCAAAAACTGGGTCTTTGAACAACATGCAAACCTGAAGGGTGCTGAATGTAGGTGGCCAGTGTTTTAGGCTTGTTATATTATGTTATGTTATGTTATATGTTATGTTATGTTATGTTATGTTATGTTATGTTATATGTTATGGATTCTTCTGGGTTCAGAAAGTTTGGGAATCTAGAAATGAGGTAGGTGAGATCACGGGTTCCATACAGAGTCCAGGAAGGCCATAATGCACACATGTAGGCTATACTGAGAGCTTCAAAAATCCGAATGGAAATGATACATTTATCTTTAGGGAGGTGGTAAAGAGCACAGACCCCGGGGTCAGACTGTCGGCACTTCTAGCCTCACTTCCAACTTGGCTGGGAACCACGAACATAGGTCTCAACTGTCCAAATGCCCGTTGTCTCCCTTGTAAACCAGGGGTAGAGACTGATCTCACAGTATTATTATAAGGATTCAATAAGATAATACAAACACAGGGCCATCAGTGAAGCTCTACCAACAAAATACACGTTTTGGGGATGATGAAAATGTTTTGAGTCATTGCATAACACTGGTTATTTCAAGATGATCCAAAGTTCTGGGTGTGAAATATCGAGGACAAGAACAGTACCTACCCCACTCAGTTATGAGGATTCAAAGAGTTAGTACATATAAACCACACGGGACAGTGTCTGCCACGTAATAGTTGGATATGCTGATTTTATTAATCAATAAAAATTTTAAAAGTAATTACTTTTTAGTTCATTATTTTGTTGACAAACTCTTTCAAACTGAAGTTTCAAGGAGAAAAATAATAAAGAAAATAATAACCTGTCTTAGAGGCAATAGATTAACACTACTGGGGAAAAAAGGAAAGCATCTCATTCATTCCATTTTTAAAGTTGCCTTGGCCCAAGGAGAAGGTATGGTGGCTTTAGCAATAACCTGCGGAAAGGGGAGATCTGGTTACGTGCCTTAGGGCAAGTGGATCCTGTGTCTGCTTCCTGTCCTAACCCTGAACAGGCAATCCCCAATCCACGTAAGGCTTAAGTTACAAAGGTCCTTCATAAGGCACTTGTTGGAATTGGGAACGCTTTTTCTCATAGGAATAATGCTAGGTGCAGCAGTGTAATTTCCAGGACAGCCCACGACACACTCATGGTATCTTGAGTTAGTGCAGGAGCAGAGTTCAAAATGGCGGGGCTGCCTCCAGGCTCTGCCCCAGCCGCAGGACCTTGGACAAGTCTCCCAGCCTCTCGGATCTCTCGTGAGAATGCCAGTCAGCCCGCCTCATGCGAGGCTGGTGAGAACCGTGTAACACTGGACACAAAAGGGCTGTGGGGTCCAAGAGTAGTAGATACTATCGCTCAGCATCCTGAAGGAGAATGTAGTAAAGATTCCTAGGAGTCACTCACGCTCCAGATAGTAGCGTGACCAGATCCAGGTCAGAAAAGCCCATGATTTTTACTCTATGTAACTTCACAGGGACGCATACTCGCCAGCAGTGATTTTTTTTTTTTTAAATTACAGGAAAACACACTACATAGAATTTGTCCTGGTAAAATACACATTACCAAAATTGCCGTATTTAAGTGTATGATTCAGTGGCATCAAGTACATTCACAATGTTATGCAACATCCCTGCTATCCAGTTCCAGATCATCGGCTCAAAGGAAAGCCTATACCCATATACCCATTAATAATTACTCCCCCTTCTCCCATCCCCGCTGTCCCCACTAGCCAGGAATCTGCTCTCTCCGCAGACTTACCCATTCTGACTATTTCATGTAAATGGAATCCTATGATATGTGCCCCTTTGTGTCTGATTTCTTTCACTTAGCACAATGTTTTCAGAGTTCGTCCACACTGGAGTGTAAACCAATCCTTCCTTTTTATGGGTGAATAACATTCCACTGCACAGCTACGCCCTGGTTTGCTCGTCCTTGTATTTGTTGATGGGCGTTTGGGATGTTTCCATCTTTTAGCTCTTATGTATAGGGCTTCCACAAACACTGGTGTACAAGGCTCTGTGTGGACGGTTCTTTGGGGGATGTGCCTAGGTGTGGGATCGCTAGGTCATACGGTCACTCCGCATGTAGCTTGTGTGCCAAACTGTCTCCCAGAGCGGCCGCACGTTTCATTTCTCACCAGCAACAAATGAGGGTTCCACTACTTCACCGATAGTCACTGCTTTCCATTCCATAAATTCCTGCCATCCTAATGGGTAGGAACCAGCATCAATTTTTGGCATTGCTAGCATTTTGAGATCTGAGATTTGAGATCTCATGACCCCGGGACGAGACCTTGAAATATGGAGACAGGCTTGTGTGTGGATTTTTCCTTTTGTGTGTGTGTGCACCCAGCAAACCCGAGTCCAGCCAGCGGCTGTGCTCAGGAATGTCATCTGTTCAGGGTACGAGTGTCATGATAATCTGGCACGCCCCACTGGGAAGGGACCCCACCAGCAGCTGCCACTGGAAAGGAATGTAGGGCCGTAAAAGCTGCACTGGGAGCCTCCCACCAAGGGGGCCCACGCGCCTTCCATTCACGGGTCATGCCTCAGTGATTCACATTAGTGTTGGGGGAGGGTGGGGGGCGGGATCTGACAGCGTGTGTGTCATTTGCTGTCCCAGCTGGCCTGGTCCTGGGCTCCGAACATGAGACCCGCCTGGTGGCCAAGCTCTTTGAAGATTACAACAGCGTGGTGCGGCCGGTAGAAGACCACCGCCAGGCTGTGGAGGTCACCGTGGGCCTACAGCTGATCCAGCTCATCAACGTGGTGAGGAGGCGGCAGGCGGGGCTCCCCATACCCCTTACCCTGGGCCCCTTCCCATAGCTCCCCGCCTCCCCACTAAAGATGCGGTCTGCCCTTTTTTTCAGGATGAAGTAAATCAGATTGTGACAACCAACGTACGACTGAAACAGGTATTCAGCTGAATAAGTGCACAGATGTTGCCTGTCTTTACCCTGGAATTGAACCGGAGCCTAGGGGGAGGATCCATCTGGGTAACAGGGACGCATACCAACATGATGCAGGAAAATATTTCGGTGTTGTGGGACTAAAGATCATATTTGTCAGGGCGTGTGTGTGTGTGTGTGTGTGTGTGTGTGTGTGTGTGTGTTTTACTTTGTGCTTTGCTAGGCTGCCGTAACAAAGCCACAGACAAATTTTGTTCTCTTACAGTTCTTGAGGCCTAAAGTCCAAATCCAGGTATTGGCAGAACTGGTTCCTTCTGAGGGCTGTGAGAGGGACTTGGCTTCCAGGCCTTTCTTCTTGGCATATAGTTGGCCAATGGCATGTCCCCATGGCATTCTTCTCGAACATGTTTCTGTCTTCAAATGTCCCCTTCTTTAAGGACATGACCCATAGTGGATTAGAGCCTACTTCAATGAGCCTATTTTAGCCTAATTACCTCTAGAAAGACCCTATCTCCAAATATAGTTCTATTCTGAGGTACTGGGGATTAGGACTTCCACATACGAGTTTTGGGGGAGACATGGTTCAATTCATAACATTGTGTCATCCAAATGGGCTACATGGGGCGTGTATTACTTTCACACTGTCGGAAAAAACAGAACACTTTTAAAAGATGACGCTGGTTGCTCGAGGGGAATGACGAGGGTCATTCTCCTTTCCTGGGGTGGGCGGGGCAGCATGGCTGATGTGCTGCCACCCGGTGGTGTGACTTGGGGTACCTTTGTTTTCTCCTCTGTAAAATGGGGTCAATAGTCACTCTTCCCTCAGAGGATTGTTGTGAAAACTAAATCATGAATATATGTAAAATGCTCTGAACAGTGTGTGCACGGTGGGGGGGGGGGTCAATGCTGTAGAGTGTTTGCTGTTATCGTTTACTAAAGTGGAAGCTAAATTCTGAATCAAACTTTTCTTACTGGAGCACAATTTTGGTCAATATCCAAACTATCGTACCATCAGGACTCTTGATAACTTTATTTATTTATTTATGAAGATTTTATTTCTTGAGCTTAGAGAGAGAGAGAAAGCAGGGAGGAGAGGCAGAGCAAGAAGGAAGTATCCAGCAGACTCTGTGCCGGCTCAGGGCTCGATCCCACGACCCTGAGATCATGACCTGAGCTGAGATCAAGAGCCGGCTGCGTCACCAGCTGAGCCGCCCAGACAGATGCCTCTTGATAACCTCAGATTTTTAAAACAACGTTTTTAGCTCTTCTTATTAGTGAAACGTTTTCATTTCTAGCAATGGGTGGATTACAATCTGAAATGGAATCCAGACGACTATGGCGGCGTGAAAAAAATCCACATTCCCTCAGAAAAGATCTGGCACCCAGACCTCGTTCTCTATAACAAGTAAGCGAAACAGGCTGGGGCGGGGAACATTCTAGGGGCAGGAGGAGCCCAAGGGCCCTCTCGGAAGGGCTGCCACTCTCAGTATGCCTCTCACCACTGTTCCCATTAAATAACCCTTAAAAACCAAGAGCCAAGTTGACATGCTAGGGGCGCCATATGGTGTCTCATGTTATGAATAGAAACAATTATCAGAGCCAAATTGAATCAGGGCTGTGGGGTGGGGGACATTTAATTCCTGAGCGCTCCTGAAGGGTGTGTGGCAACTATCCAAGGAACCCAAATTCATATAATCGAGTTCCTTGGAATCCTATGTCCGTCCTCCCCGATAGGTCTGAACCTCCGGGGGTGGTTATCCGTCATATCCCCATGGCAGCCCGAGACATTGCGTGTTGCCCATGGCTGGGAGGCCGGCATCGCCCATCCACTGGGCTCCGTGACAGACTGCACATTGTGAAATTATAATGTGATGCGAGACACTCTGGTTTAATGACAGGTTCATTATCATACGCCCTTCATTTGTCAGGGAATGCTCATTTCAAAGAGCGTCCTTCCCAGGCAGGAGCATCCACCAGCGGCCTGGAGGGCTTACAGGCTGGTGGTCTACAGCGAGGGGCTAGGCAAGCGGGCTGCGCCTTCTCGAGCGTTGACCGGGGATGTCGGTAAGGCCTTGTGAAAGGAAATGACCCCCCTTACGGCCGACCCTCCCACTTTGATTTTCTACTACAGATTCCCCAATGACAACCTGAGATTCGAGCTGGAGCCCGATTAGCCAATTGTTTGTGTAACCCTCTTGGACAAATACACTGATAGAGCAGACTGCCTGGTCTGTTAGTAAGTTTCTCTTTCAGTAAGAATCTAAGAGAAGCAATTAAAGTCCTCGGGTCCTCTTGATAAGCTTGCTCGGGAACACCTGCGGGGGAGAGAACCCTGTTCCACTTGCTTATGGAAACAGATCTGGGTGATCCTGTGGCCCTCTGCTCTTTAGGGCCCTTTTGGGAAGGTCCAGAACAGCAGTTTTCTGGAGAGAGCCTCACCTTCACCCCAGGAAAAAGCCAGTGGGAAGAAAATCTCTTGATTTATGAAGTGAGGCACCAATATAGGCCCTGCGTCCCTGAAAGTCCCCCAGGACAGACCCCACCCACCTGTTCAACACCTATTCTAATACCTTTGCCGGCGGCCCCACAACACGGGTTGTCTGGGGTCAAGTGGACTGCCCACTGAATAAGGCCTGCAGAAGTGGCTCGTTATTTTTTATTATCTACCACTGTGGATTATTTATTTATTATTTTTTAAAAAAAGATTTTATTTACGTATTTGAGAGAGAGAGAGACAGACAGACAGCACAAGTGGAGGGGCAGAGGGAGAAGGGCAGGAGGGTTATAGGGGTGAGACGAAGGGCTCCATCCCAGGACCCTAGGATCAGGACCTGAGCTGAAGGCAGATGCTCAACCAACGGAGCCACCCAGGCGCCCCTCTACCATGGTGGATTTTTTTAGATGAGAAATTAATGCCAACATTTGAAAATTGAACAATATCACATTAAACTTTGGAGTTCTAGTCTCTCTAGAAAAATCCCTTACTCAAATGCATGGAAACTTTGGATTAAAAAATTATAGATCTCCAGGTCCCGAGGAAGAATCCCAGTATCTGTCAGCATCACGCCTTCCCTCACAAGCGGACTCCACAGCCGAGCGGCACCTTCCTTAGAGGACAGAAGGCTCTCCCCTCACCCCTTCCTCACCTGCCTGGGCCTGGAGGCATCTGAGTTAGCAACTCTACCCTACTGAGTTCTAGATACATGTGCAAAAGAAAACAGAGCCCTTCTTTAACCTCTTTACCACAATAATGAGCCACTGGACATGTTTTTGTTTAAAATTCCTTTTTTTTTTTTTTTCCTCCAGTTAACTTTCAAAAAACACTGGGGAAGGGATAGATGGAGATTAACATTACAAATGCTACTGAGGACTGGGAAGAAAACATCTGGTATATAGTGTCACCTATTATTTCTTTAAAGCTCTAGATTCCTAGGTTCTTCCCCAGATATTCTGATTTAGTGCTTAGATGGTGCTCAGAAATCTGTATTTTAAACAAGCACCCCAGCGATTACCAGACGAATTTGGGAAACGTTGCCATGAATAAAGAGTGACACTGCCCGAATGAAAGCATCTATAATTAGCACCTGAATAATTAACAGCTGTCTCCCGCTAACATCCCCAAGCACAAACGAAGGCTCATCCGTCACTTGGAGTCACACTCCTCTTTGATTCTGTTTGCAGTGCAGACGGCGACTTTGCCATTGTCAAGTTCACCAAAGTGCTCCTGGACTACACTGGCCACATCACATGGACACCCCCGGCCATCTTCAAAAGCTACTGTGAGATCATCGTCACCCACTTTCCCTTTGACGAACAGAACTGCAGCATGAAGCTGGGCACCTGGACCTACGACGGCTCGGTGGTGGCTATCAACCCGGTAGGCACCACCCTCGAGGGACAGACGGGGCTGGACGCAGGAGGAGGACCGTCCAGGTGTCCAGCTCTGGCCCTCTAGAGTCCCAGACTCTCAGCACCAGTTAGACCTTTGGGGGCCATTGAATTCACTGGTTCTCAATTGAGAACACATGAGAACCACCAGGGACCTTACATAAATTGGCTTGGTCCCAGGAATGTTGGCTTAATCAGTCTGGGGTGGGACTACGGCACCCATATGTTGTCAAGTTTCCAAGTGACTTGAAGGTATGGTCAACACGGAGGACCCCAGTGATTCAACCCCGCCCCCCCTTATTTTATAGGAGAGTATCTAAGACCCCACATCGGAAGTGACCTTCTGGGTTCCATTCCAGTCCCAACAGCCCTGGAATCTGTTGTTTTATTACAGCCGAGTGTGAAACCCACCTCTCCTCCACGGGGACACAGCTGGGGTTTCACAGTTTCATTTCATCTTCTCAGGAAAGCGACCAACCAGACCTAAGCAATTTCATGGAAAGTGGAGAGTGGGTGATCAAGGAGTCCCGGGGCTGGAAGCACTGGGTGTTCTACGCCTGCTGCCCCTCCACCCCCTACCTGGACATCACCTACCACTTTGTCATGCAGCGCCTGCCCCTCTACTTTATCGTCAACGTCATCATTCCCTGCCTGCTCTTCTCCTTCTTAACTGGCCTGGTGTTCTACCTGCCCACAGACTCAGGTGGGTGCCAGGGCTGTGGGTGCAGCTGCTGCCGCGGGCAGATCTCGTGCTGCTATGTGGGGGGAAACCAGGAATAATCATGGGCCAGTAAACAAATACAGGCAGACACGCCCAAAACATCATCCCTGGGAGGACGCATTTACGGAGTCTCCCTGTTCAGTGGTGAGTGCCTGTGGCTAGAGCTCTCGGCTGGCGCAGACCACAGGGCAGGCAGAGTTGAACATGACCCCGGGGGCGCACGTGCACAGCTCAGTCTGGTTAATGTGAACGACCACCAGTGCCTCCTTGCTGGAAAACCTAGTGTGTGCCCAGGAATGTGCTGGGTAAGGCCTGGGTCACAGACACCCCTCATGTCACGTCCCCTATGAAGCCGCAGACTATATACTGATTAATCCAAGTCCTGCGTCTTTTCCTCACTGCTTGCCACTTGAAAATAGCTTTGGCATTCCCGTTTTCCAGATGGCAGCATCTCTATACACAAGACCATGCTTCCCAAGTAGCAATTCTTTCTCACATATCAGCCTGGACAGCTTCCTTACCTCCTACTGGGTAATCACACCTGTGACATAATTTCACCAAATACCAACCATCCGCAGAAAAGGGGAAAAGGGTGCACGAGTGCCTGCTTGAAGTCACTGCTCACATACGATTTAGGACAAGCAAGTAGGGGAAAAGAAAGGTGGTACAGACAGTCCTCAAACTTGTGACCGGTAACAATTGTATCAAAATGATAAAAGAACACACACACACATACAAGGCTAAGTTCAACTTTCCCACAACAACAAAAAAATATTCATATGCACTCGCGCTCATTCCACATACTGAACAACTGTCACTCATCAAGGCCACAGTAGAGAATAAGGCAGAATGTGGCCCACAAGGGGTACCCGGCTGGCTCAGTCGGGAAAGCATGCAACTCCTGATCTCGGGGTTGTAAGTTCAAGCCCAACACCGAGTGTTGAGATTACTTAAAAAAAAATTAAATGAAATCTCAAAAAAAAATAGATTTGCCCCACAGGGTGCATGTTGTACTTATGATTGTGGTTTTTTTTTTTAAGATTTTTATTGATTTATTTGACAGACGGAGATCACAGGTAGTCAGAGAGGCAGGCAGAGAGAGAGGAGGAAGCAGGGTCCCTGCCGAGCAGACAGCCCGATTTGGGGCTCGATCCCAGAACCCTGGGATCATGACCTGAGCCGAAGGCAGAGGCTTCAACCCACTGAGCTGTCCAGGCGCCCCTATGACTGTGTTTTTAAACAAATGATTACAAATACAAATTTTTTTCAACTTTCTAATTAAATGAAGCTTCTTAAAGTGAAGAGAGAAAATGCCAGCCAGGGCAATATGGAAATGAATCAGAGTTTCTGTAAGTGTGAAATGGTTTGTGCTTGAAGAGCATTTAGAACAGTAAGAATGCTTGATAAATGTTAGCTCTTATTATCAATCAAGAAATTTGATGTAACTTGATCAGTAGCTCGTATTTACAATTCTGTCCTCTTTTCCACTTTTATTTTTTTTTAAAGATTTTATTACTTTATTTGACAGAGAGACATAGCGAGAGAGGGAACACAAGCAGGGGGAGTGGGAGAAGCAGGTTCCTCGTGGAGCAGGGAGCCTGATGTGGGGCTCGATCCGAGGACCCTGGGATCATGACCTGAGCCAAAGGCAGATGCTTAATGACTGAGCCCCCCAGGCACCCCAAGTATTCTTTTTCACTTTTGAAGACTCTCCTCCCCACTAGGTAGACTTCTCCTAACTAGGTAGAATTGGTCGTTTCTTCTGTGCTTCCACTCTGTATCCCGTAGATACTCACAGCATCTGGAAGCATCAGGTATGGGAGGAGAACAGAGCAACACAAGGGTTTCCCAAAACAAACAGCAAGACCAGGTCAAAGAAAAGTCCCTTCCAAAGGCTGTCTAACTGCTTCGCAGGTGGTCCGTCCCCACAAAAATAATCCAGTGCCATTCAGCCCCTCTCTCGCTTGCCATATCAAGACTCAACAGGGAATTATTCATCCTGAAATTATAGGGCTTGGTGAAAAGAGGTTGGGGCAAGGAAATCACTGGCCCCTTAATGTGAGAGACGGAAAAAGAAAAAAAACAAAATTATTCTCTTAGATGAATGGGAAAAAGTAGTTCCTTGGTTTTGAACTTTTCTTGGCTTTGGTCCTGCAGCTTCCTCCCATAACAAGGAAAATACACATGTGCTTCTGGGTTGCCATCCGTCTGCTGGGTAACAGGTCAGGTTCTGTTTTGGAAGGCTTATGACATTCTGCTAGAGTCAGAAAACTGCCACCCGGAGTCTAGCTTGTCACACAGCTGGGTGTACTTGGTTCCCTGAATTCCACCAAGCCACAGAATTCTGGGATGTGAGGTCAAGCACCCACTGGTTGCCTCAGTGGCCTGTCACGGAAATGCCTGCCACCTGCCACTGTCAGCAGAGCTAAGGAGCATAAGGTCTCATAAGACCAAATTCTGCCCAAGAAATTTCCCTGGCAACAGGAGGGTCCCATTGCTCTCAGCCTTGGGTTTTGTGGTATATGAGCTGGCCAGGGATGCCATAACAGAGTACCCCGGCCTGGGTGGCTTAAACAAGAGGAATTTATTTCCACATAGTTCTGGAGGTCAAGGTGTCAGTAGGTTTGGTTTCCTCTGAGGCCTCTCTCCTCGGCTTGCAGATGGCTATCTTCTCCCCCCGTCTTCACCTGGTCTTTCCTCTTTGTTCTTGTCTCTGTCCTCATCTCCTCTTCCCATCAGGACACCAGTCATATGGGATGAGGGCCCTCCCTAATCAACTAATTTTGACTTAATTACCTCTCTCAAGGCCTCATCTCCAAACACAGTCACGGAGGTGCTGAGGCTTAGGGCTTCCATGTATAAAATGGAAGGGTACGGCAACTCAGCCCCTAACACACGAGTGGTCGAATTTCTTCTTCATCTTGTCCAGGAGAGAAAATGACTCTGAGCATCTCGGTCCTGCTGTCCTTAACCGTGTTCCTCCTGGTCATCGTGGAGCTGATCCCCTCTACCTCCAGTGCTGTGCCCTTGATTGGGAAATACATGCTGTTCACCATGGTGTTTGTCATCGCGTCCATCGTCATCACCGTTATTGTCATCAACACACACCACCGCTCCCCCAGCACCCACGTCATGCCCGACTGGGTGCGCAAGGTGAGCGAGCGAGGTCCTGCAGTCTCTTGCCCACGAGAATGTCTCTCCTTCCAGGGGGCCAATGGAATGCTGGCTCACGCTTGTGGGTACTTAGGAACTGAAACTCCTTTCTGGGGATTTTGAGGGGATTTCTGGAAGGAACTTTCTTTAGCCTCTTTCTAGGAATAAATAACTAATGTAGCCTCCCCAGACACAGAAGAAAAACAGAATTAATAAAGCCCACTCCAAATTCAAGCTTAAATAATCTCTGTGATTAGAGAAGGTGAATAAATCACTGTCTTTTTATTCAAAGGCTGTGAAATTCCTGAGATTTCTGTTTGTATGTCTTCCAATCTCTGAACAGACTGCTTATTTTTTGCTGGGAAAAAAATCATCTGCTGAGAGTAGAATAAGGACTAGAGATGGAGGGGTGCTTGACAAGAAATTGTCAAAAAGTGAGTTTCACTGAGGAACTTGGTCTCAAATATTTACATTATTGAAATTTAAAATGTGTTAACATTTCCAATATGTCAGTTTTTAAATAAAACTTCACAGAGACACTAGTGTCCAGGGTCTCTTCTGTCGCATGCAAAAGATTTGTCATGAATTGACAGAGACACTACTGCTTGCAATGTATTCTTTTGGGAAGACAGTCAGTTCCTGTATCTGTAAAGACTCACATGACTCCTGGCAACACCTACGTTGCATTTCTTCAGGAATAAGAAATGGAAGAAAACAGAGGAGCTGTTTTGGAGACTTATATGTTCTCTTAGCCAGAAAAACCTTTTCTTTAATCATATTATCCTGCTAACACATGGCTTTGGAAGAAGCCAGTACCTAGAGCTGGGCTGGAAGATTAAGCATCATTGGCTTCTCATTGAGTCCAATAGCTGCACACAGGCTCCCCTCCAGTGGCGAACTTCTCACATTACAGAGTCATGCCTCTTCACCTTAGTAATTTGGCAGGCCAGAAGATATGCCTGAAGAAATCTCTGAGAAAATCTAGTAGAGTCCTTTTGTTTTAAGGACAAAGAGGCTACGGCCCAGAGAAGCCGAATGACTTGTGCCTGGACTCACATTGCTAATTCAAAGTCAGAGTTTGCTACTTGCCCTGCTCACAATAATTCTCATGCATGGATTTCTTCTTTATGTTAGGTTTTTATCGACACTATCCCAAATATCATGTTCTTCTCCACAATGAAAAGACCCTCTAGAGAAAAACAAGACAAAAAGATTTTTACAGAAGACATTGATATTTCTGACATTTCTGGGAAGCCCGGGCCTCCACCCATGGGTTTCCACTCTCCGCTGATTAAACACCCAGAGGTAAAAAGTGCCATCGAGGGAGTCAAATACATCGCAGAGACCATGAAGTCAGACCAGGAGTCCAATAACGTAAGTTCCGTGGCTTGTCCCACACCTCCAGGCTTACAAGATCAAATACTTGAGCACGGATGAACGGGTTTGTCTTGATGGGTGGGCTGGCATTCACGAGACAGCTGCTGACTCACGATGGGCCTTGGTGACCACCCCTAAGCCAGCTTCCCGAGCCATCCCACTGGGAATAACCTATCGGAAGGATAAAGATCACCATGCCAGCCAAGGGATGTCGAGGGCTTTGAAATCTACAGATGGAGTGGGCTGTAGACCATGCATAGCGTGAACACTGTGATTCTAATGACCACCTAAAGGAACACTTTTCTCTCTCCCAGGCGGCCGAGGAATGGAAGTATGTTGCAATGGTAATGGACCACATTCTCCTCGGAGTCTTCATGCTTGTCTGTATCATTGGAACCCTGGCTGTGTTTGCGGGTCGGCTCATTGAATTAAATCAGCAAGGGTGAGCTGAGCTGAGCACCAGGCAGAGCAGAGAATGGTGGGGAAGACAGAAATATCTATCTACTTTGATTCGAGCTCATTTATCAGACCTCTGACTTTCTGTATTTACGATTAATGCTAATGATCTATATTTATGTAAGGTGATGGCCTCCAGTACCTTCACAGCGCTTCTCCTGTGATCCTACTCTATCTTGCCTGGAGAGTGAACCCTTTGCAGTAAATGAAGTGGGATCACTAACAAGGTGTATTCGTTTGCAAAGGCATCTTGAAGAGTTTGGCCCAGAATAACAGGTTTTCTAGTGCTTTGTTTTTTTAATTTTTTAAGCAAAGAATGTACCCTTGCTTAAAAGTCAGTTTTGTACATACAAGTAGGCCCATCTGCCAGTCCCCAAAAGATAAAGCATTTGATTCAGAGAGAAAAGGAAACTGTAGAAAGGCAACAGCTAAGTTCTAGAACAGCCACCAAAATGCAAACTGCATCAGAGCATGTTTCTAGAGCTGGGAGGGGAGGGAGGGGCTTCGCAGGCTAACAGAGCCCCCAAGTATGCTGCTCAAGGCTTGAGGAAGGAACACAGTCAGCTAGTTTCCTGAGCTATACCAAGCTTGAGGGCCAGGCACTGTGGGAATCATCTCACGGATGTGGTTTTATTCCTGACTTTCATAATGTCCCTATTTTACAAATGAGAAAGCTGAACTAGTGAAGCTTAAGTTCACTGCTGAAGCTAGCAAGGAGAACTGAGCCAGTTCTGAAGCCAGACCTAATCTGGAATTCAGAGCAGCTCAGGGCTGGGTCAGTTCATCGGCTTACTTGCTCCGCCATCCTCTCCCCACCTGACCTAGGTCATCCTGTAACTCCACTCAGGGTTTTGAGAGCTTCAGTCTTAGTGTCATCCACCTTTCTGCCCTTCCAACTAAACCCCCGGCCCTTTTCCCCAGTCCTCATCCAGAGCTGGATGGGGTTTTTGTTCTATCGATGAAATCAGAAATGTATGCCCCTATCACCACCATTTCTAAAATTCCAGACAAGTGAACAGGAGAGAAAATGATTTTTCTTCATAGCCACTTTCCAGCCACAAGGTGATGCACTCCAGAAGCAGGAGCCCTGGGTCTGGATGACCTCTCTCAACCCACGTGGTTTCGAGCTACTTCTCCATGGAATTCTCGAGCACCCACTCATGGCAGGACAGCGCCTTCATGTGAGAGTAATCTCAAGGGAAAACAGTCTGGTGGTTCCTCAAGAAACTAAACATAGAACTATCATAGGATCCAATAATTCTACTCCTAGGTATACACCCAAAAGTGAAAACAGAGATGTGAACAGACACATGTATGCCAATGTCCACAGCAGCATGAATCACAGTCCCGAAAGGTGGAAACAGTTCAAGTGTCCATCAGTGGAAAAAGCAGTATATACATACAGGGGAATGTTATTCAGCCTTAAAGAGGAATGAAATTCTGATGTATGTTACAATGTGGATCAACCTCGGAAACATGATTGATGAAATAAGCCAGACACAAAAGGACAAATCTTATGATTCCACTTAAATGAGGTACCTAGAAGAGGCACGTTTATAGAGAGAGAAAGTAGAATAGAGATTGCCAGGGTTGAGGGGGAGGGGTGAGTTATTGCTCAGTGGGTAGAATTTCAGATTGGGAGGATGGGAAAGTTCTGGAACGGACAGTGGTGATGATCGTACAACACTGTGGAATGTACTTAATGCCACTGGATTGTACACTTAAAAAGGGTCACGATCATAAATTTTATGCATATTTTACCACAATTAAAATAAAGAATGAAAACAATGGTTCAACTGTAACTGTCATGTTATATATATTTTTACTACAATTCGATGAACAACAAAAAAAATCTGCTGCTTGTCTAATCCGGCCTCATCTCCCAGGACTATTGATTCAAAGAAGGAACTGAAAAGTCACTTCCATTCTCCCCCATTTTAAGGATGAGGAAAGGAGGCTTAGAGAAATGACCTCCCTCAGGTCACAGAGCAATTTGGTGACACAGCAGATCTCACTCCGTCCTTGTGCTGTGTTCATCCCATCGAATAGCCTCACTGTCACCCCCTCCCCCGCAAAGCAAGGCCCTGGGGCACATTCCCTCCCTGCCAGCAGAGCCAGCCTGAGTGGACAGCACAGGGCTATCCAGTAGTTCCAGCAGCTCCTAACATCTGTCCCAGCAGATGTCCGTCACCATATCAAAGGCTTTCATCTTTGGAACCTCTTCTGCAGCTCGGCCCGGTCTCCAGAAGACCACTGATGCAATGGGAGGGCAGGCAGCGGGTGCTGGGATCTGTGTCCCCAGGGAGGTGTCTGCCGAGGGCCGTGCCTGCCTGGGCCGGCATAGCTCTGTGGAGGAGCGTGTCTGCCTAGTGGGAGGACTTCCTGGGAAGGAGGGGGCATCCTGTAAGTACGACACCGGCAGGTTCGTGTTGATGGGGCTGCGTTCACAGACGGAAACTGGAAGCAGAAACAACTCAGAGCTCAGCCCTCTAAGTCTTCTTTTCCTGCCCTTGGTTGTCGGAACTGGGAGTTTTGTGTTTGTTTGTTTGTTTTTAATCAGAAATGATATTAACATTTAAACAAATGAGTTGGGGTCCGTGGGGAGAGATTCTGAGCCCAAGTGTTGGTTGGCCCCAGCCACTGGTGGCCACAGGGCTGTTGTATTCCTCCTGGGTGGGAGGTAGGTAGCCACGCAGAGGGGCTCAGGCAGTGGCCTCCTTGCCCACTGCCCAGATGATTCCACCCCACCGTAAGAACGGGGGCCGGTTTCAAGCCTGAGTTCCCTGCTCCCGGGTCTCAAACCACCATGTTCAAGGTCATCTCTCCCACAGCTGCCACTTGAGTTCCAGCTGCATGCCCGTTCTTAAACCGCCCATAGGCACCGGAGGTCTCTCTCCCTCCACACCCTCCCTCTGCCTCTGCCCAAATCCCTCAAGCCCCACCCCTCAACCATGTCCTTGCCCAACGGAGAGTCTCTGCTGCCTGGGTTTTCCAAGTAAGCCTCCTCGCTGCTGGCTAAGGGCCTTCCCCAATACCACCCATGTTCCAGTCACTGCTGCCCAAGGTTATGTTCCTATAGCCTGAGTTCTCCAACTCTTCCTCCCCGAAATGACCCATGCCGCAACCCACCGCAGCCAGTGTTTACCAGTTACCCCAGCCACGGTCTCTTCGGCACCCCCGCCTGGGTCCAACTGCCAGGGACTTCATTTCTTCCCCCTCCCCCTGCCTGGGTCTGTCCTGACTGCAGCCCCAGCTGGGAGTCAACGCTCTCCCTCACAGCTCTTCTCCCCTTTCCTGCCTGCGGATTTACCCTCACCCTCCACAGCTGGGCGGCTCAGTCTTTCCCCGACTCCTACCCTCGTCCTCACTGTCGCTGTTACCACTGTGGCTGCTGGAGCCAGGCCGTCCTCCTCACAAGCTGGGAGGCTTAAAACAACAGAAATTCCTTCTCTCCCAGCTCTGGAGGCCCGCTGTGGACTGAACTGCATCCCCCAGATTTGTACACCGAAGCCCTGACCCCCCAGGTGATGGTGTTTAAAGATGCGGCTTTGGGGAATTTGGGCTCAGATGAGGTTGTGAGAGTAGGAGCCTCACAATGGGAGTAGAGCTTCTGAAGGAGAAACACTTGCTCTCCCTCCAGCGCTCGCTGTCCTGTGAGGACCCAGAGTGAAGGTGGCAGGCGCCGAGTCAGGAAGAGGGCCCTCACCGAAGCCTGGCCATGCTGGCCTCCTGACCTCATGTTTCCAGCTTCCAGGACTGCGGGAAAATACATTTCTGTCGGTCAAGCCACCCGCTCTGTGGTAACTGGTTATGGCAGCGTGAGCTAAGACGAGGCCCAAAGTCCAAAATGGCGGTGTTAACAGGCCGATTCCTTCTGGAGACTCTGAGGGAGAACCAGTCCCAGGCTTCATTTGTAGCTTCTGGCGGCTGCGGGCCGCCCCTTCTAAAGGACCTTTTCTGTCCTTTAGAAGAACACCTGCCATTGGATTTGGGGCCTACCCTAAGTCCAGGATGATCCACAACTGCAAAGACCCTATTTCCAAACAGTGTCACGTTCATAGGTATCAGGGGTTAGGACTGAGACACACCTTTTGGGGCCACTAGTCCAACTCCAAGCACTAAAGCAGGAAGCAGGGTGGGATAGAGTGGCTGTGGGAAGATGGGAAATCCTTCCCGGAAACCCCAGAGGGAGCAGAGTGTAGAGAGGACATGCCGAACTAGACTCCTGCAGCCTCCCAAAATAGACTCAACACTTCACCCCTGCACCCTCAACCCACCACCACTGCCCTCCCCCAACCAGGAGAGAATTGAACAGCCGCTGAGCCAATGCACAGTGCCCTGTGTCCTGCGGGCCCTACCTGGGGTTATTTCAAATGCCCGGGAGAGAGCAGAGTCGTAACCTCCAGCCTCCTCCACCCCAAAGCCTGAAGCTGGCAGCACCTGGAGGAGCTTTACAAACAGGAAGCGCTGAGAGGAGGCTCCACCAAAGCCCTTGGCCAATGGACGGGGCGAGGCCAACCCCCAGTCAGCCTGCAGGGCCTGGAGCACAGGAGTCCCCCAGCCAGGGCAGGCGAGGGAGGAGAGCCTCCTTCCAAAGCCCATGGCGGCGGAGTCAGCAAGAGGCCCACACCTCGTGGCCAGTGGTGAAGGCAGGACACTGCAGGCTTCAGTGACAAGCCTTTGCACTGGCACGAAGCTTTACAGCCTTCTTCCTTCAGTCCTCACCGCACCTAGTGAGCAGGGGTTGCACTCCCAGTGCTCCTGCTGACACACGCGGCCACTGAGGCTCAGAGAGGAAAGTGGCACCAGCGTCTCAGCAGATAAAAAGCAGAGCTGCCACCCGCAGTGTGGCATCCCGGACCGGAGTCTGAACCAGGAAGAGGCCCTGTGTGGAAAGGAGGTGAGATCTGCATCCAGGCTCTCACGCAGTTAAGAGCATCCGCTGAGCCACCCAGGCGTCCCTGCAGGGTTCCATTTAACGAGACTCTGAGAACAGGCCAATCAAGACAGACAGAAAGTAGAACAGTAGTGATAACAGGGGTGGGGAGAGGGGTGAGTTATTGCTTAAGGTTCAGTTTTTGTTAGGGGTAATGGCAAGTTCTGGAAACGGAGAAAGATGATGGCTGGGCGACCCTGCCGATGTACTTAGTGCTGCTGAAATGTATACTGCAAAGTGGTTAAAATGGTTAAGCGTTGTGTATATTCTGCCACAATAGAAAGTGTTTTTTGTTTTTGTTTTTGTTTTTTAAATCATAAACTGCCCCTTTTTGGTCCTTGGTAAGGACGGGCACTGATGAAGATACTAGCTGCCTCTGGGAGAAATACTAACCTCTCTCTCCACAATCATCCGGGGCTCCTCAGACCAAGCCCCAGCACATCGTCCTTCAGGAAGGGAGGACAGGCTAGAGTAGGGGAACTGTCCCACTTCAGATTTAAACCGTTTTTGGCAAGAGGCCCACCCAGCACCCAGGGAGCCTACAACCAAGGGAGGATGCTGAGCAAGTGAGGAAGGGTCTCCCTGCTCTTTTCTGATCCTTGGGCACCTCCTTACCAAATCTTTCTTTCCCCTCTCTCAGCCACTGAAGGCCCTCCTAAGGTAGTTTGTAAGATTATAAACCTCTTGAATAATCTTTATTTTTTGAACATCAACTTGACAAAGTGCTTTTAAGCCTATAGTCTCATTCTCCTTTCTAGAGCCTTTGCCAGATACCTTATTTCCCTTCACTTCACTTGGACAGGCTCTGTAGGGGACACAAAAATCAAGAAGGCCTGGTCCTGGGGTACCTGGGAGCTCAGTGGGTCAAGTGGCTGACTCTTGATGTCCACTCAGGTCATCTCAGGGT